CAAAAGGGAAAGGGTAGAGGTGACTCTTGAAGTCATACTTCAAGTTGTTTTAAGGAAAGTATTAAGACTTTATTAGCCAAGAAGTATAAAAACTTCTTGTGAACATCTTTTTTGTGTGTAGTCAAAGGATCAGTAGAAAAAGTTATTAATTATGTATTAGTTAAAATTGAATTTTTTAAGAATGATTAATAGCATATAATTTATAATATTATTTTTACAATAAATATTAATTTTATTATAATTATAAATTCAAATTAATATAAATATTTAAAAATTATTATAATATATTAAATTTAATTACTAAAACTATAATTAATATATTAAATTATCAAAAAAAAATTTTTTATTAAATTTTAGTAAAAATTATAAGATACCTTAGTTATTTATAATATTGAAATTATTTAGTTTGATAATTAACTTGATATTTTATTACTTTATCAAATAGATCAAAAAAATTATTACAAATTTTAAAAGTAAAGTTGAATTTAGATAATGTTGTTTTTAGAAAAATTTTCTTTAAAAAATAATAAAATTATTTGTAATATATCAGAAATATTTGATTTTTTATCTTAAATAAGTGATAACATTATTAATAAAAGTTCAAATAAAGAAAAATTCAACAATAAGATAGGAAAACTTTTTTCTAAAAAATATTAAGTTTTTCTAGGTAATAATAATTAAAATGTAGTTATTAATTCAACTGGGTATTTCTAAACAAGTTATTTAATAATCAAATTAAAGGTTTTCTTTTAAAAAGTTTTATTTTGATATTATGTATTTAATTATACCATGATTATAAAATTAGACTAATAGTTATCAAAAAAGTTATTTTTAACTACTGTATATCTTGGAATCATACGTTTTAGAATAGTCAGATTACGAATCGACTTTGTCACACGAAACTGGCCTGAATATGTAAAAATAACTTCATTGCATAAGGACTGTTTTGGTTGTGCAAAATTTACAGCTATAAATAGTTACAGATTATGTTTTTGCCAAACTTATTAGTACAGTATATTTGAAAATAAGTTTCAAAATCTCTAATGTCTTCGTTACATGAATTCTGGGGCCACAACGATATCACTTGACGCAAAACCTTCGTTTCGCTATTTATGCAGACCAAAAGTCTGTGAACATCATATTGATTAAATGAATAATACAGTATTCACAGTCTATCTGTAGTTGTAGTGTGACGACGGCGGGTAGAAGTTTCATATTTCACGCATGAATGAATTCATAATCCACCAAACTGGTCGATTATTTTGCGTATGATATTACATAAGTACAATTTCCATAAATTGAATTAGAAAGTGGTAATACACATTATCCTTTACTACTGTATTTAGTGAGCATTGTTAGTGATGCTAAATGTCGTAATTTTGAATTCCTGAAAAACGAAAACAATATTTTTCTATTCAGAAACAAGGTTAATTACTTGCATGCATTAATTAAACCAATTTGTCAAAATAATCAATGAAATGGTTTCACAGAATCTGTTTATGTCAAATAAGGTGATAACATGAAACGATATTGAATAGAGGACGCGTAGCCATTATCGTGTCGTTAACATCATTGTTTCGTAAATTCAACAGGGCGCATCTCCCGACTCAAACGTACCAAAATTTGCTATAAATACTCTTATTTTCTTCTTTACTTTCTCACTTCAAACAAATTCTTGAGGAATTTGAAAAAAAAAATCCAGTTTATTAACACTTGAACCTCAAACGACCTTTAACTTACCGACTTCAAAAAAAAAAATTAATAATAAAATAAAATGAATCCCACTATCATTTCTACTTCTACCACTATCGCCACTGGTGTCACAGAAAAGCCCGGAGGTGGTGATCCAACCAATCAATGTTCTATAATGCACTTTCCCAGTTCTATTCTAGGGGTCACCGAAAAACCAAGCGGCGGTGATCCAACAAACCAATGCAACATCATGTAAAATCGAATCGCTCGGTAAAACTTGTCGAAAATCGAAATTAAAGTCGACCTTGAGATAATTAATTAATTAATTATCTCAATGAGCTATATCTCTCGGGGTATATTTTCTTAAACTTAAATTTCATGGTTAATTTTCTGGGTTGAAAAATTTAATGTATTGGTGTATATTATTCTCAAAGTTTTATGATACTAGAACTTATTAGGATCCTAATGTCTTTAGTTATAGTATATTTATCGATTTTTTCTTAGAATATCTAGTATCTGGTATCTAGATATTTCAAAATAAATCGCAAACATTCCTTTGCCAAATATTTTAAATGACATACAGCGCAGTGGTATATTTGATTTTGAAACAAAAGTTTATTTCTGTGATTTACTAAACAGTGTGCTTACATATTAATTAATATCGATCGAATGCCCTCCAAATTAAGGATTTAGTTATTTCCTTTATTTTTTCCCACCTCCACCCAATATCTGCTTGCTTACTAAATCATAATAAAATCCACGCTTTTCTATCAGATCAAAATGTTTACCTTTTTCTACCACCCTTCCTTTCTTTATTACTAATATTAAATCGGCATCCTGTATAGTTGATAACCTATGTGCGATAGTTACCGTCTGTCATAGGCATAGGAAAATGAATAAACGAACCAATTAATATAACTCTTCAAGTATTAAGATATAAAAAGAAAGAAATAGAAAACTACCGTGCGGTTAGTAGATGCTCTATCTAGGGCATCTTGTACAATTTTTTCAGACTCCGAATCAAGAGCGGACGTGGCTTCATCAAGCAATAAAATCTTCGGATTTCGAATTAATGCCCTCGCTATGGCGATACGCTTTAAATTTCAAGAATTTAATAATATTACCTATCTATTATTAACCAAAGAGAAGCGATTAATCTTCTATCTACCTGTTTCTGACCGCCACTTAATTGCGTGCCTCGTTCGCCAACCGGAGTGTCGTACCCTCTTGGTAGGCCAGAAATGAAATTATGTATATTCGCGCTCTTGGCCGATTCCACTATCTCATCTTGAGTGCATCCTTCTTTTCCATAGGCAATGTTTTCTCCAATAGTTATATCAAATAATACTGGTTCCTGACCAACCAAAGCCATGTTTCTCCGTAAGTATTCTAAATTCCATTTTTTTACATTCACACTTTCTACGTTCACATCACCACTTTGTACGTCATAAAATCGTAGTAGTAAAGAAATTACTGTGGATTTGCCCGAACCGGATCCACCAACTAGTGCAACAGTTTTACTGGGTGATATGGATAAATCTAGGCCGCGAAGGATCCTCAGGTTTGGACGAGCAGGGTATTTGAAGTAAGCGTCGTGAATACTTGCGGAGCCGGTAACGGGTGATGGACGATCTTTTCCTTCGTTTTGAGTCGGGTCAGTCAGAGAAGGACGATCGAGAATCTCAAAGATCGAGAGGGCAGCAATTTTTGCTTTCGCGGTATTTGGCGCAAAAGTGCTTATTAATAAAAAAAGATGTTACTTTAATTTAATAAAATATATCGTGATCTTTCTAGCAAATTTAACCATTGGTTACCTCACATTTCCGGCAGCCATAGCACTAAATACAACGGCGAACAGAGACTTCATCAATTGATTCATATCATACTCCAGATTTCCAATCAATTGTTCTCCATACCAGAAAGCCAAAGCATAAACAAAAAACATCATTGCTTGCGACAAGCCGAATCCAATCGATGAGACTATGCTTCCACGAATGGCAAGCTCGTGTGGATTTTGTATGGAGGTATCATAAAGATTTTTAAAGGTATCCTCGCGAGTTAGTGAAACAATGGTGCGAATATTAGAGACACTTTGTTGAACTATTTGACCACTTTCTTCATACGCTTTAGCGTTCTTTTATCGAAATTAAGTTAGGGAGAAAAATGATAAATCATAGAAATTAAATATAGTGTTAAGAAAATAATTACCATTGCACCAAATCCCGCCAATACTTTCATCTGAAGATATCCAGAGATAAAAATACCCGGAGTCGCAGCAAGAACGACCAATGTTAATTTCCAACCATAGGCAAACGCGATAGCCTTAAAAATAAAAAAATAAAATAAAAAATGAGAAATTTAAACTTCTCTGCCCTCTTCGTCCGAAAAAAATAAAACATAAGACACCCACTACTCCTAAAATTATATTAGTCCCCAACTGCATTATACTGCCCATAAGTGTGCCTGTTAGTCCTTCCACTCTCGAAGCGTCTAACGCTAATTTTGAGGTCAATACACCTGTACTATTCTTCTCATAATCAAAATATCCGATATCCATCTTGAGGAGTTTTTCAAATGTTAACGTACGAAGGCGTTTTGTAAGTCTTTCGCCGGAGAGAGTGAAGAAAAAAACTTGTAAAAAGTTGGCGATAAACGAGACAATGGCCAACACCACAAACATTAGAGCCCAGAAGTCTGCATCGTGACGGAGCTCGTGGGGTCTATTAAAAAAAAAAAAAAAAAAACGTTACCGAAAATAATATGGATAAATAATAAGGATAAACATCGAGTGAATCATATATACCTATCGGTTTTGGAGAATACGTCCAATAGAGAGGAAAAGAGAAATGAGAAAAGAGGTGTAATAGCACCTATTGAAGAATTAATAGATGAGTATATAATGTTGACTTAAAAAAGATTTTTTTAAAGTAATAATTACCGTTTACAGCCGCGCCAAGAGTTCCAAATAACATAATCACGTATTCGGGTCGTTGTAACTTTAAGATTCGACCAAGTGGCGCAGGTTGCTTCGTCTTCTCCTTAGCTTCTTCCATTCTGATCTCTTCGATACTCTTGATGGTCGAAGCCCTAGTGGACATCTTACGTAAGGCCATTCTAGGCCGTTCCTCATCTTCGAATGTTATCTTCACATCACCGTCACTTAAATCGTCTTCCTCTTCGTCTTCGGAAAATAGTTCTGATTTCGAGGCATCATGTTTAGTTTTTAATTCTTGAGCTTGCACCAATCCATAGTAGACTCCGTGCCTGGAGATTAGTTCTTCGTGACGACCGACTTCCAAAACTTCTCCTTTGGACATGACTACGATTTTATCGGCGTTTTTTACAGTGGAGAGGCGATGAGCTATTACTATAGTCTATTAGATATGCCGAGTGAAAAATACAGAGGTTAATAGATTCCTTAAATAATAAATTACTATTAAAATGCTGACCGTTCGACGGAGCGATGCTTTATCTAAAGCTTCCTGAACTAAAAGCTCAGATTCCGTGTCTAGTGCGGAGGTGGCTTCGTCGAGTAGTAGTATTGCGGGATCTTTAATTAAAGCTCGGGCGATTGCAATCCTAAATAGTTAGAGTATTCGTTTATTATCACTGAAAACCTAGCCAACTACACACACAATCTTTAATTACCTTTGTTTCTGGCCGCCGGACATTAAAGCTCCCTTTTCACCAACCTTTGTATCATACTTATTAGGCAAATCGGTAATAAACTCATGTGCATTAGACTTCTTACACGCTTCAATAATCTCATCTAAGCTTGGTTCCGGTGCGTCAGGTGCTGCTCCCCACTCTATATTCTGTCTAATACTTTCCGGAAATAAAATTGGTTCTTGTCCTACAAGTCCTATTTGCGTTCTGAGTGACTTGATGTTAATATTTCTAATATCTTCGCCGTCAAGTAATATCGTTCCTTTGGCAGGGTTATAAAACCGTTCCAATAATCCGATGATAGTTGATTTCCCGGACCCGGAGCTACCAACCAGTGCTACTGTTTGGCCGGGTTCGATTTCAAGATTAAAATTTTTAAGGATTTGAACGTCTGGTCGTGAAGGATAATAAAAATCAATGTTTTTAAATTCCAATCGACCCTTAACAGACGATTTTGTAAGTTTTTCCCCGGAGGAACTGCTGGAATCGATAGTGGGCACTCTGTCGATAACGTAGAAGAGGTTTTTTGCTGCGCCACGAGCATTTCCGATTGATGTGAAATGTTACCAAGTGAGAGGGCTACATAAGGAAAACGTTCAATTAGAATGAATAGCGGTTGAGATAAAAAAAAAATAAACACAAAAAATACATGCCACCAATAAGTATGGAGAAAAACACATTTAGTACTTCTCCACCATTAGCCTGACCATCCACAATCAATATGCTACCGTACCAGAATGCCAATCCAAATGCACATAAATAACTAAATGTTTTCAAAGAAATGATATGTATTTTTGGAAGAGCTTTCTAGAATTACGAAAAAAG